TTTTTTTTTTTTTTGGTTTTTCGAGACAGGGTTTCTCTTTTTAGCTTTGCGCCTTTCCTGAAACTCACTCACACTCATAGAGATCCACTTTCCTCTGCCTCCAGAGTACTGGGGTTAAAGGCATGTGCCAACATTGCCTAGGTATTTAATACTTTTACAATTGGCATATGTAAAAAGGACCATGGAAATAGAAGCTAGTAATAAAATTGATCAATTATTATTTCTTGCATATTTTAAATGCAAATTGGCACTGATATATAGAACTGGAGGCTTTGAAAATACAGGAAAATGTGTTTTGACAAACAGTTATCAATGATAAACAGCCTAAATTAAATATAAAATTATGTGAGATTGAGATTAAAAGATTATTGGATTCCGATGCTAGATATATCTACAATTTCATAAGAATCCCGAGTTCCCAACTGGCCTCTACTAGAAGTCAGGAAAATGTAGACTATTACAAGATCTTAGAGCTCTAAATAAAACCATGCTTCTCATGGGAGCAACACAGCCTGGCTTGCCTGCTTCTGTGGCAATTCTTAAACATTGACATTTAATTGTGATTGACTGATGGATGATATATTATTGGCTGCTAAAGATAAAACATTTGTTTTTGATACCTTTTCTAAATTACAAGAGTTTCTTAGCCTGGCTAATTCACAAATAGCCCAGAAAAGGTACAGGTATCTTTTCCCTATCATTATTTAGGTCATGAATATTTTGTTTTACTCATTCACTTACTGGGGTGTTTTGGCAAACAGGTCCTATTCTATGGGCACCTTACCCAGCTTCTCCAGCAAACCATTATTCCTTATTCTCAGGCTATTGCTCAGATTACATTTAAGGGAATCAAGATCAGTTTACAAACTTTTGGTAAGGATCCAGATATTGTGATGACCCCATACACCCAGTCTCAAATAGCATGGTTGAAAGCTAATGATAATGATTAGACCATATTGACATGCTCCATGAAGGGTTTGATACTCACTACCACTCCAATGATGTGTGTCAATTTTTAAATTATTTTTAATTTTTAATTTTTAAAATTTTTTAATTGCATCCTCAGGCCCATGTGGTATTTACTAATGACACTTCATGTGGTTTTGCTGTAGTGGTTTCTGGTAACATAGTGAAGACAATGGAAGTTCAGGGCATTTCTGCCCAGATAGCACAGGTACAGGCACTATTGCTTGCCTTACAGATGTTTTCTGATGAGAGTGTAAATACTTTTATTGATAACTAATATGTGGCCCATGCCATTATGCCTTTGGAGACAGCAGCCTACATACCATTCATTCTTCCCATTCATAAATATTTATTGCAAGTGCAAGGACTCATATGGTCCCGCTCACATAACCTTTATGTGGGCCATATTAGAGCTCATACCCAATTGCCTTGACCTCTAAGCAAAGGTAATTAGAGGGCTGACACCATTACTTGTATTGCTGTCATATTACTTTGTTCTGCCTTTGAAAAGGCTACTCAGTTGCATCAAAGTTATCACCTTAACACTGAATCTCTCAATCATCATACGGTCATAACCTGGGAACAAGCCATCCAGATAGTTAAATCATGTCCTATTTGTGCTGAATTTTTATCTGTTCCTCATTTGGGTGTTAATCCTGAGAACTATTATCTAATTATGTGTGGCTGATGGATATAACACTCGTGCCTTCCTTTGGAAAAATACAATATGTCCATATGTCTATTAATACATATTCTTCCCCAATTTTTTCTTCTACCTATTCCAGGGGAAAGGTTAGGATATAAAAAAATCATCTTCTTGCTTTTGCTTATATGGGAGTGCCAAAATGCATAAAGACTGATGATGCTCTCGCCTATAGCAGTACAGGATTTGTAAAATTCTGCCAGGATTTTTCTGTTGTTAATAAGACTGGTATTCCTTATAACTCTCAAGGATGGACAATAGTAGAACGCTGCCATCGTATTTCAAAAAACATTTTGCTGAAGACAAAAGGGGGAGCTAGGTGCTCACCTCTCCTCTCCACATTCTATTCTTTCCCTTGTTTTATATATTTAAAATTTTTTATCGGTGGATTTTGCTGGAGTATTTGCTGAAGATAAGCACTGGAAGGCTCCTGTTGCAAATCATCCTCTGGTGAAATGGAAGGATCTTTCTACTGGCACTTGGAGGGGACCCGATTCGGTGTTGGTGTGGGACCAGGAATCTGTTTGTGTCTTTCCACAGGACAATGAGGTGCCTCTTTGGGTTCCTGAGTGCTGTGCGCAACCGGTGGCTGCTGCTGAATTCCAACATGACAGAGACCTATTGGGCCTTCATGAAAAATTCTCCCGTTTTGATGCTAATAGGGACTGAGAGCCCAAAATGGCCAGCCTTGGCAAGCATTAATTTAAGCCTAGGAACTGTAGCCATGCAGTTGGATTCCACAGAAGGTAATGTATGGTAACTTTAAAAAAATGTTGAGAATGTGTCACCTAGACAACCTGGAGATTAGAGATAACTCTGAAGGTCACTGATCTTCATTTGTTAACAGTAGCATGTCAGGAAAGCCTTTTTCATTTTCGCAATTCTCTTCAAGTTCGTATAGTGACTACTTTTCAGGAGTGGCTCTGTGCAACAATTCTTGGCCTCTTGAAATTCATCTAGCCAACTTTGAAGATACCTTAAAATTTGTGAGCCTGAATGTAGCCCTTATGAGACCATTACTTCTGTTCTTTGTTTGCTCTCTATTTATTTATTTATTTATTTATTTATTTATTTATTTATTTATTTATTTATTTATTGGTTCCACTTCTAAAGTCATAAGTTCCTATCAGCTTGGTTCAGTTGTTTCTGAAGGCTTCCTTATCATGATCTGGACTCCCCTCGCTCATAATGTCCCTCTTCACTCTCTTCCAATGTACTTCTGAGCGTCAACCTGGTGCTTGGTTGTGGGTCTGTGCAACTGCTTTCATCAGCTACTGGATGAAGGCTCTATGATGACAGTTAGGGTATTCACCAATATGATAACCAGGGTAGGCCCGTTCAGGCACCCTCTCCAGTATTGCTTGTAGTCTAATCTGGGGTCATCCTTGTAGGTTCCTGGGAATTTCCTCAGCACCATGTTTCTCACTTTCCCCAAAAGTTCTCACTGAGGGACATTTTTTAAAGGTTAATCAGATGTGTGAAGAGCAGACTTCACATCTACACCCTTCATATACAATCATAGTGAGAGAGGGGAGAGAGAGAGAGTGAGAGAGAGAGAGAGAGAGAGAGAGAGAGAGAGAGAGAGAGAGAGAGATTAAATGAAATCAACTCTTCAAAGGGAAGTGATCATCATTTCCCTACAAGTCAATTGACAGCCTCTATTTGGGACCAGAGATTATGTGTAGAGGAGTCTGTGACTGTAAATGTCCTGAGGTGCTACTAGAAATGATCACTAATGTTGTCAGTCAGGTGTTGCCCAGTTGGTCTTTTGAGACATAATCTCAAAAAACAATAATGTGAAGGAATTCATGGATAATCTTATGAGCTATAAGAAGTTGAGCACAGGGATCTGTGTAAGTTTTAATTACCTTGGTATTTTGGCTTCATGCTAATTTTGAGAGTGTTGAGAACATGGTGTCTCTCTTAAGCTTCCTAGTGTATCACATCATCTGTGATTCCTCCTGGATTTTGACAGCTAGTGAAGCCTTCTGTAGTCAGGGTGAATTCCACGGTGTCTGTGTGCCATGGAGACAGTAGGATATAATTTCAGAATGTTGCCATTATGACATCTTGGAAGCCAATACTGAGAGAAGTGAGCATTATGCAGTTGAATATGGAAGACTTTGAAGCTGTGGGTGGTGAAGTTGCTTTTGTTTGAAACAGAGACTGATAAATATGTGGTTACCTAAGGTGTGATTGTTGAATAGCGTCTTGGCTACAATCATGTTGAAGAAGAATATTAAGGTAAGTGGATGATAAGACACAGGTCGTACACAAGTGTCACTAGATTTGGTGCCTGATGCCTCACAAGATTGTGTGTAGAAGCATTAAACCCTGGTTAGAAATGTATTCTGTTGGTCAGTAGGCAAGGAATACCACAAAGTCACACCACACAACACACTTCACAGAAGAGATATATTGGGAGGGAAAAAGTCAAGAGGGTAGCCTCTGCTCAAGAAGAAACAGCAGATAAATGAACAGACAGTAGGGCTTATATAGAGTTTTGGGGGAGAGGTTGAAACTTTTCACATGAAGTTTTCTAAGTTGGAGATTGGTGGAAAATCATGTCCAGAGATTGGGCTTTTTACTCTCTAGAGTAGGGACAGTAGTTAGGGCAGTTAAGAGTGTTCTGTGGGTGGAAACTGGCAGTTGGAGGCCCTCAGGGGAGGAGTCTGGTCATTCTTGTGGCTTGAGGGGCTTACATTGCCCTTTTTTATTTGTTATTGATATAAAATCAGGTCAGTGTGATCATCAGACCACATCCTGCTGAATCAGGGAATCTATGCCTTTGGGTGAACTTGATCTTCATCAGTTTAGCCCCAGGAGAATCGGCCTCTGGTTCTGCAGCTGAGGACAGGCAATCGTGTAATGCCAACTGATTGCATATTGCAATAGCATAGAGGGGGAAAGAAATCTGATGCATTTTTCATTGTCTTACATCACTTTTTCATACCTTCAGATATTTCATTTGCATGCCTTAAAGCACTGTATTATATCATCAGAACCTTCTTAAGCTTTTGTATCCTCAGAATTTCACACCCTTTCTTAGACTCAGAAGTTACTTTAGCTCTCACCAATATCCTCTCTCAGTATCTTTGTAGGAACTCCAGTCCTGTAACTCGATGCCAAATCTCAGTTTCTCTTCATGAACCATTCATGTCATTTTAAAACTAATACCACCTAGGTGACTCTTATATTACGAAGTTTTACTAACAGTATGAGGTATATTCTTGTATGAGTACATGGAATGTGCAGCTTTAATAACTTATTAAACAAGAATTTTGTTTGTTTGTTTTTGTTTTTTGTTTGTTTTCTTCAAAAACCCCATTTTTATGATTTTTGTTTTCAGGAGACAAATTATACAAAAATTAGAGAAAAGAGGCATCAGGGTAAGTCCCAGTGAAGAGATGGATTGGGGAGTTAGAGGGAACTGAATTGGCCTTTGACAGCCTGATATAGAACAAATTCCATGCTCTGTTATGATAGGATATTGGTTAGAGGTCAGGGGTCTCCATATATAAAAACTATGCTGTATAGGTGTTGTCAGAAAGAAATAAAGGAAGAGATAATAAGTTTAGCTATAAAAGATTTTCAGATCATTTGTTTGTCCAGTGGCAGAAGTTGCCTTCATTGAAAATTGAGCTTGCCAATTTAGGCCATTGAAATGAACTGATACCCAGCTGTTTGCAGTAACACAATGAGGGTTTAATAAATTCCAAGTCTGTGGATAAAGTGAGGAAGGCTCACAAAGCAAACTCTGCTGGAGGGAGTTTCTGTCAGCTCCAGTTGTGAGCAGAGCCGCAAGAGAGAAGCCAGGACAGCACAGAGAAGCTGTGAGACCTCTAGCATGTAGCTAAGAGACAGGAGGAACAAGTCCCAGAGTCCCAAAAGTGCTTAAGGAAGCTGTGGGATTTGTAAGAAGCTCCTTTTAGTAGGCAAGGGAAATCACAACATATAGGAGCAGGATGGCAATAGGAGAGAGAGAACAGGTAGTTTCAAGGGAAAGATTTCATAACCAGCAGCATGTAGGTAGCTCCTATGGGTAGATGAGGAATTATATTACTAAAGAAACAGAGGAGTTTGAGGGAACAGGGTGCTAAGTGCTGTGGTAACAAGAATTTGAATCCAGGGCATCCACAATTGGACTCAGAAATATGCCAGGGAGAAATGTCCCAAATCACAGTGGAGAGGAGTTCCTTTCTATGTGATGAGGGCCTAGTAGGGTGAGAGGAATTTCTAACTGGGAGTATGGGGAATTAACTAAGGAAGAAGTGTTGTGCAGAAGATTCTTTCTTAAGGGGCCAGAGTAAAAGAGACTTCATTCCCCTGAGACTATGAAGAAAGATGGATACTGAGCCTGCAAGATATAATTGGTGACATTTGGTGAAGCTGGTAAAGCTGTCACCCAAATCTGACAATAGTGTAACAAGATGTGGGTCCCTAAAACTTCTTTGGAGTTAAGTAGGTTGCCGAGTGATCAAAAGAAGAGAGGTAGATTGCCCTGACACTGGATGTCCACTGAGGCTCCCAGTCAGAGATTGCAGTGGTCAGGCCAAGGGAACCTAGCTCCTCACTTGTCTATAGCCAGATCTAGGAGGTCAGCTGACAGGCCATCTGGGCTTTATGTCCCCATGTCACAAAGGACAAGATGACCGCGAAAAACAAATTTCCCTTCTTGATGACACTTTGGAAATGGTCCAGATGGTTTTCAAGGGTTCAGACAGACTTGGGCCCAGTGACCTTCCTGAGTGCATTTGACAGGGAATCAGAAATTCTCAGACTTTGGGAGTCCAGATAGCATGGGAAGTTGCTAGAGCCAGTCAACAGGCTTTCACTAACACCAGTTATTTTTGTTAAGATTTTTTTCATGTATGCTATGGTACACTTTAAAGGCTATGGCTAATATTTCTGCCTGTAGAGTCATGGGCCCCCTAACTGGATGTTTAATTTTGGCAGTAATAACAGCAAAACTCTGGGAGAGGCAGCATTTCCTAAGGAAATGTCTGGTGTCTTAGGATCAGATTGGTATATTATGGAGGGTCTTTTCAGGTAGTCTAGGGGTTGAGATGGGTTTTTATGTTTGTCCTGGATGACCTCTTGGATTTTTCCATAATTTACCCCTTTAAGGGTGGCCTTGTGAAGACCAGCCAGGAGGCAAATTACAAATGGATCCTGAGCCAGATGCCCTGGGGTATTGTGGTTCCATTCAAGGTTCTGGTTTTGGACTACCTCAGCCCTGACTGCTTGGATAGCCTGTCACTGAGAAGGGTGACAGGTTACCAAGGGGTGCTGTGGAGGAAGAGAAAGGACAGTGTGTAAAGATCGATAAAGGGGAGGCTACTTTAGTGTGATTGGAAATAGTGGGAGAATTATCTGCTTTGGTCCACACTGCTAGAAGGAGTTGTTTTTTCCTTGGTTGGCCCATGTCATGTGGTCATTTTGATCAAGATGAAAGGTGAAGTCACAGGACAAAATCCATCCTTTGCCTAGCACAGATGGTTGATAGCCACGTGGTTGCCTCCATACCAATAGGGGCAGAGCAGGTAAGGTGGCAGCAATCCACATGCTTCCTTTATGATTACCTATATATGGATTCTTAACCATCAACCCAGTGTTATGAGTTCTAAACTAACCCCGTTGTTACTGATTTTGTAGGGTTTTAATCATACCCAACTAGCTTACACATTTGAGGTACACAAAATTTACACAATATTTTTTACAAATCTTGAAATAAGATTTATGCCTTAGCAAAAGTTTCAGGATTAAATGAAAATCAATAGAGTATGAGATGAGTAGCAATAGTCTCTATTGGGAATAGTCTGTCCCTTTATTTTGTTTTGCTTTCCTGCCTGATATGGGAAAGAGATTTTGGAAGAAAGCTTTAAACAAGCATACTTGCTTAGATGAGTGAGAACCATACACAAACTCCAGAGCCAGATTTTAATTCAAGTGATGCAGCATAAAGAAACAGTGCAATGCTACCAAATTAAAAATGTACTTTAACCTTGGTAATACTGAATCTAGTAAGCTGAGATCAGAGATGGCTTGGAGGTAAGAAATTTTTGAGTCAGGGATGCAGACAGAGGATGACTCAGGAGGGAGCAGAGAGATACACTAGCAAGTTAAGAGTGTATGTGAAGGACATGTGCTCTGTGCACCTTGGAGCTGGTCTATTGATTTGCGTTACCTTCTGCTGTTGGGTCTGATTCCTGGCTCCCAATTTCCAATAAATGAACAGATCCATCCATAGTGCCTTGAAAGACAGGACATCCAAACAGTGTTGCAGGAAAGACTAGACTAAAACAATCGGGTCTTGGAGCAAAGAAAGAGAGATAAGAAATAGAGAAATCTCTTTCCATTTCCCTGATCATTCACAGTATTTGTAAAGGTCCAAAATATTATTAGGCCCTAAGGTGCCATTAGTCAGCCCTTTAGAATTATTATCAAAAAGGTATTGAGATAGAATTTGGCTGCAAATACATAAACTCGGGGCCCTTTATTTGGGTGTCAGGTGGAGAAGTTGGATTTTTTTTAAAAGGCATCCCAAGAGGGAATGAGAGGATATTGATGACTCATTTCCATGGGTTACAGTAGAGAAGAAAAATGTTACTAGAGACTGTAGTATTGGGCATCCCCAAGACTCAGAGCACTAAACAAGGAGCATTCAGTATGTCATCACCTCACTCAATGGGGGTCAGAGGGATAGGGTCCACTGGTAATATTCAGTACCTGGTACCAAGGCTTTACTAGAGGCCAGATAGCAAAGAGAAAAACTGAGCTCTACAAGGAGGTAGTCATCCACAGGAAAGGGTTGGGAATGAGGTCTCAAAATCCACAGGGGCCTAGATGAACTGTGGGATTATAAGAAGCTTTGAATGGAAGGTGGAATAAGAGAGAAGGAAGGATCACAATAGACTGGTTTAGCCTAAAGAAATTGCAGGATAGCAGCTCCATGTGTGGGGGGATTGGATCAGGAAAAGTAGGCTAGATATAGCCTCAAAGTCCATGATGAGTGGCACCTCCTCCTCCAAGAATACCAGAGGGGTACTGGAGACTACATGTTTCTCAAACTCATGGAAATATTTACATTGATCAAAGGAGAAACTTACCTAATTGCTGCTATTGGATGGGGTGTTGAGTAATTGATAAGCCAGGAGGTTAATCTGTTGCAGGTGGACTGGAGATGAGGGATAGGGTCCAGTGCAGCTTAGGCACTTTGGGGAATTGCAGACACTAGGAGAGACTATCCCAGGTTTCAGAACCAAATGAACACATTACAATTCAGATGTAAAGGTATTCTGGCAGTTGGGAACCAAGGAGTGCCACAAAGTTACACACACAATAAACTTCACTCAAGATATTTATTTGGAAGGAAAACATCAGGAGGGTGGCTTCTTCTGCCTGAGTGAGAGACATCAGAGAACTGAGCAGAAGTCGGGGTTTATATAGTTTCTTGGGGTGTGGCATGGGAGTGGGACTTTTAAGGGTGAAGCTTTCCAGGGTAGAGACTGGTGGGATTTCAAGTGTAGAATTGGAGCATTTTATTCAGTAGTGTGAGGGCAAGGTAGAGCTAATAAGGCAGTTAAAGTGTTCTGTTGGCAGAATCTGGCAGTTGGAGGCTCAGGGGAGGGGCCTGGCCAATAGTGGGGGTGGAGGGGCTTCCAGTAAGGAGCTGAGTCTGTTAAGAAAGAGTACAGTGGTGGCAACATAGTACCACTTAAAGTTCTGCAGCCCACAGCTTTCTGGATTCTAGCATCTGAACTTTGGGAGTCATTCACAGAAGATCATGATGATGAATAACACTGTATGAACTGGATAACCCAGGCTACTGAATGCATACCAACACAGTTTCTATTTTAACTGCCATAATATTTTTGTCCCTAGAGGCTACAGCCAGGCCACCTTTCCACTCCGATCATTGGTATTAACAGTGTTTACTTCAGGACCACATATTTTTTGGCATGCACTCTGAAACTCCTGGAAGCCTTATTAGATATGTGCAACAGAACTTCAGGGCTACTGAGGTCATGAACTGTGAAAGAGCAATCTAGCTATGATGTAGCCAGGGAATGTTTTGCCATACAACATCAGTCACTTTGTTCAGCCAGCATAGCCCCTTACTAGGTCATATCCTTAGAGCCATACATAAATGTGGCTAATATCCCTGACCAAAAATAAAGGCTTTTCTTTGCCTCAAATGGGATCATCATACAAACAACAACAACATCAAAAATTGGACACAATGTGGAGATCAAATGTATGTGTGGAGCCCAGCTAGGGTGTATGCATCTACATCACAGGTCCTGCATCTCAGGCTCAGGGACATCACAGAAGAGGGGGCAGTGCTACTGTAAGTTCCAGATGACAGAACATCTGCTGTGATGCTGGTCTATTTGAGCAATTTTAGAACATTTGAAAATATGTGACATGTTTCAAAATCAAATAATAAAATAGGATTCTATATATTAGTCTTGAAATTATAAAGAAGTTAGGAGGACTAGATATTTGTTAATTCACCCCTAAGCTCTGTCTTTTATAAGTCATGCTCTTGATATACTTCATCAACTGAATATAGAGATAAATTTATTCTGTATAGTACTATATAAACAACTACATATAATAGGGATGGTTAAATATTATTTACTACAATTTATTATGAATCTATTTATTTATTTTGTGTTCTTGGGGAAGAACAATTACATGGTGTTTACTTATTTGGATATCATAAGATAACTGGCAGAAGCCGATTGTCTCTTCCAATGTGGGTCTTGGTGGTCAAACCAAGTTTTCAGGTCTGACCGCAAGTGCCTTAATCTCTAGTTCATCATTATTAAATATTTAATATGTATGATGTTATTATATGTTACCTATATGTGTTTCTAAATCAGTCTTCTTTTCAAGAATCTAGTGCTGTAAACTTATAAGAAAGAGAATTCACATTATTGAATTTATAGTTGAGAAATAAAGTGGTTACCATTATACGATGGGACAACATATATATTATAATTTTCAGTACACAGGAATTTACTCCCATTGTTTTCTGGGCCAGTGTTGAGACAGTACATGGTGAATGAAGAGAAAACCTGTGTACCCCCATGATTAATAGGAAACAAAGAGAACGAGAGGGAGTGGCCATGTTCCTAATGTCCTCTTCAAATATACATCCTAAATGGCCCATCTAGTACTAGACTACTAGACTGTACTTGTGAATTTTCCACTATCTGCAAATAGCAATTCAGGCTAGTAATGAGACAGTTGCAAATGCTGAAGAGCTTGTACAAGGACAATCTGGAGTTCAGGGAAATCCAGATCTACACCTGTTCATTTTGATTCTGAAAGACTGGGGCAGACACAAGGCTACAATTGTCTACTATGTATGGGGAAAAAGTGGAAGGAACTTGGTTAACAACTACAAACTATGCAGTATAGCCAAATACCTACTTTAGTGGCAATGAACAATAGGAAATACTACAGTGAAAAACTAGGAAAATTTTTCAGAGTTTGCTAAGAGATTTGGGAGCGTTTCACAGTGTCAGGAAATCATGGGACCCATACTTAAGAAAGAGCTTCAAAAAATTAGCAATATATTCTCAAAAAACAGATTTTTTTCTTTTTAATTTTATTTCTTCCATGCTTTATTTTTTATCTTGTTTTTGACAGAGTCTCGTGTAGTCAAGATTGATCTGAAGCTTGCTATGAAGCAAAGGATGACCCTGGATATCATGCTTCTATCTTCTGACTGCTATAGGACTACAAGAATGTATCACTACACCTGTTTATGAGGTGTGAGAATTCAAATTCAGGGCTTCCTGTATGCCAAGGGAGCAGTCTCCCAACTGAGCCACATCTCCAGACTTGGCGGTGACATTTTAAACATAGAGAAAAGTGATGGAGAATAAAAGACAATAGTTCTTGTCACAGCAAGAAAATTAGTCAAGGCAAGAAAAGCCCTCACGAAAGGACAATTGCTGAGATGAGGGATCAACCATGATTTTATCTTGTATTGATTTTCACTGTGAATGTTCATTGACCATGAAACAGTGACACAATGGGGATTTTCAGAAAACAATATATTACACTGAACATATTTCCCTCATGCTCTTCAGCTTTCATTTTCTTGTTCATTCTGTTTATCCCCTTTCTTTCCCTTGACAGATTTTCTCATGTCTTTATTCAGTGTATATGCATCCATAATTTTAAGTAATTGTATAAGTTCTATGAACCATAAACAAGAGAATTTGTATAAGTGCTTTTCCTTCTTGTTCTTTTTTTCTTGTCTGTATTATTTCTTTCCTTTCTACTTATTATTTTGCTAGATTGATTGTTTATTTTGGTGGGAAACAGAGACTCTATTCATAGTGATGCCTGTCCTGGGAATCACTGCATAGACCAAATGACCCAGAACTCAGAGATCTAACTGCCTTGCCTCTTTAGTGCTTGGAAAAAGTATGAGACACAATAACAGGCCTAAAATTTTTTTGTATGACTCTATTCACTTAATATAATTCCCTCATTTTTTATGACTGGCTTCATACACTTAATATAATTATCTCTTCGTTTACATTTTCGTAAAAGCAACACAACTTTCTCAAAGTCATTGATAGAAAGAAAATTTTATTACATGTGTATATATGTGTCTCTCTCTCTCTATATATATATCGATAAGGGCTACATAAAAAATGAAATGTTTCTCCTTAAGGAAAGGAAAAATGACTAGGGCTATAAAACCAAGCCAACTACAAGAACTAGTGAACTTTGAATTTTAGAGAAGAATCTCCTACTTTCACTTTGCTAAACCAGCAGGATACCTAATCACATTGCAAATATTTATCATTAAACAGGAAATAAGTACTGGTCTCATCCCCTGCCAAAGAAATGTGGCTTGCAAGGGATGGCAAGCATTACAGAGACCTACTGCAGACCAAATTGCTGAGAACAAATGACCTTGTGGTGCTCAACCTCGTCTGATATATCTAAACACAAATGCACTAAAGGCTCAGGTATCATAGTGAAAGAGATGTTGAATAGATTGCAAGAGCCAGAGGAACAGGAAGTTTACTGTGAGAATTCATGTCCTACAGATGTCAGAGAGGCTAAACCCTTGAAGTCTCATCAATGTGGCTTTCTAAACAAGACCTGAACAATAACAAGATATTGATAGACATGCTAACATGGAAGGGCTGAATCTCATGACGCCTTACCCATAGACAGAAAACTATAGACAACTAGGGAATGCTGAAATTGGGAGAAATAGTCTCACCCAGGGAAAAGCCTCCCAATTGATCATTAATTACCAAATCATTGGCACTGAAATTGTATTGAGATGAGTAACACCATGGACTAAGCAGGTTGTATTTACATAAGGAGGACATTTATGTATGTGTGCTTTAGTATGATTGGGGTAAGTGACTATATTTAAAGAATAGAATCCATAAATTTGAATGGCATTATGGGGTTTATAGGGAATTGTTAGAGGTAGGAATGAGAAGTGGAAATGCTATACTTATGTTTAATTTTCAAAAGTAAAGAACATTTCATAGAATTAAAAAATGGTTGTTTCACAAGGTCAACATTTTTCATTTTCTCAGAATATTTTCATGCTATTAATGTTAAAATTAATTTGTACTATATTTTATTAAGTGTTTTAATCATCTCCAATGATAATTGTGACATCATGTTTTCCCCTTTGCTCCCAAATCTTTAGTTGTTTTCCTCAGATTTGAGTCTCTATGTGACCCTCCAAAGTACTCTAAAATTGTGCAGGTCAGGTGTTGAAAATTAGAAGTACATTAAGGACATCCAAGAACAATGTCATTAACCTGTAATATGTAGGGGTATATTGTCCCTAGATGGATAGATCCTGTCAATAATGATGCAATATACTTATGTCACAGTACATGGAGAAATCAAGGTGGAAACTCCATCTGTACTGGATGGTTTTCACACTGCTAGAGGTAATAAAATAATTATGTAAATATCAACCATGAGAGCAATCCCCACATCAAGTCCTGTGTAATACTGTCATAAACATCATTGTATATTATACTGATTCATAACTGTATTGAAGACCTAGTTCACAAGATGACAGAGTTGCATGTCCCCATCATTATGCACAAGAATATGAGTCTAGAGAATATAGAGATCTTGGGGAAGAACATAATACTAATATTCAGCTAAGTTCACAGAGCAATAAAATGCACTCTAAACTCTTATTTGTGGTGATATATTGTATACCCCAATAAAGCTTAACTGGGGATCAAATGATAGAACCAGCCACTAGATTAGTTTTAGAGGTCAGCCAGTGGTGGCACATCCACCTAATCCTGTAACTTGGGAGGCAAATATGCTTCTGGATCTCTGTGAGTTCAAGGCCACACTGGAAACAGAGCCAGGTAGTGCTAGAACATACCTTTAATACCAGGACTGTGAAGCACACACACCTTTAATTCCAGGAATTGATGTCTGGGCAGAAAAGTTCTATAAGGCATGAGAAAATAGGAACTGACTCTCTTGAGGCTGAAGATTTCATATAGGTAATCTAATGACTGGCTCTTCTGCTTCTCTGTTCTTTCAGCTTTCACCTCAATATCTGGCTCTAGAGTTTTTATTATAAGACCTTTTAGCTTCATTTTACATCTATTTTTATTCTGGGGGTTAGGTCTATCCCTCAACTCTCATCAGAGAAGTTTTGTTTTGCACTCTATGGTGATTAACAGAGAACCCCACTACCATTCAAGGTGCTGAGAATAAGAGGCTCTGGATGGTCCTTCTAAAAATGGGACATCTATAGGACAGCTCTTTTGCCCAAGATTAGTAGATCATAATTGATGATGAGACAGAAAGAATATATGAATAAGAGGTTGTAGATGATTTCAAGGAAATAGGTCTTGTTTAGACTAAACAGGACACTTACGCATGGGAATTTACTCTCTAGAACAGTTCACACAAAACCTACACAAGATTTAGAATACAAAATCCAAGCAGAGTAGATGTATTAGGAAGTCCAACTCCTAGCCAAAGAACTGATATGAATTTCTGGCTTCAGAAAGAGGAAATGCTGGATAACTTAATTTTTTCAGAGAGAGAGGCTAACATTGCTTTCATATATGCCCCTGCTCTAATAGATAGGCATCACTAAGTATAGACTCTGCTTTCCTTCCTTTCTCCTTCCCTTCATTTCTCCTTCTCTTCCTTTCTCCATTCCTTCCTTTCTTTTCTTCTTTCTTTCATCTTTTCTTAACAAAGCACATTGGATTTGGAGAGAATACTGATGTGAGATAAGAAGGGAATTGGAAAGGAGATAATAGTGTGTAGTTTTGACATAACCATATTAGCCTGAATAAAATGCTCAAACACTTAAATATTAAATGTTATAAGCTAAATAAAGAAAACCAAGTTGATTTCTGTTGAAAGAAATTAGAAAAGCCTGGATCCAATGGGACATAGAAACTTCTCTAATGTACACACAAATCTCACCTCAGAGTTTTTATCACCTTCAGTGGGACCATGGTCAGCATTCAGGCATCACAAAATCTCAATGCATCTTCAAAACACCTTGTCTCTTTGGAGATATTCACAGGAAACTCTCAAGTATCTTTGTTAATTAGCAACTGGAAAAGTTTCATGAATTATTTTGTCGCCCAAAGACAGCACTGTCGTTGCTACTGCAGATGAAATGAAAATTGCAGTTCTGGAGGGAGGTGAGGTCACCGAGTCACAAGAGCTCTACCTCAGGCCTGAGATGACTCTCATATGGCACTAGTTATTAATAATTCTAGATCTACCCAATGAACTCATCTCCCTTCTGAGGCAAGAAGCCAGGTAGGTACTTCATGTTTCAGTCTGAACAACAGAACCAGCAAAGAGAGGCCTGTGAAATTGCTCATGTCTAACAATGGGAATCTCATGTAGGAACAGAACCTTGGAACTGAGAGAGAAGGTATAAGAATAATTCCATAGCTAAGAACAGAGTGAGAAAAATAGAAGTGTTCATAAATTTTTGCCAGTCACTGTTGGTTTTGACTATAAATGCCCCCCTTAGAGTAACAGTAACACCAGGATAATGAAGTCTGTCTGTGAAGGAGCTGAATTATTGTGTTAAAAAGTCAAAGTGATAATTAACTTTACCTTACATGATGTGTAGAATATTTTTGCAGTGTGATTGCTAGAGTTGAACTTACCAAAGTTTATAATTGTATTTTTCCATCCTCCTAGATGTGACAGTGTAGGTCCATTGGCATCATCTTCCTGGCAAAGTTCATGGCCTCTTGGTAAGTACAATATGGAAGTAGAGCTTTAAACATCTTCAAGTGATGTTGAGTTTTCACATGAGTCTGTTGGACAGTGGGTATCCTAAATGATGTCCTATTTCCTACATGAATGATCAACAGTTAGAATGGTGAATTCACAATTGAAGAATGTGTTTATTGTATTGTTTTGATAACATGTCAGTGAAATCACACTCAAGTAAGCAGCACAGTTGCAAATATAAAATAATGTTGTTTTTTGGGGGGATCAAGGTCTTAAACTGTGATTCCATGAGGTTTGGTAAAGTCACCAGCTGACATTTACCCAACAACCTAAACCCAAACTCAATTCCTTCCACCTTCCATCCTTCCTTCTTTTCTACATCCTTCCTTCTTTCTCTCCTCCATGCTCCCTTGTTTCTTTCTCTCTGTTTCTTTCTTTATTTTGTATGACAAAGGTTTCAACAAAAGAAACAAAAATCATAACCATATATTTCATGGGAATTGCACAAGTAAAGTACATCTTGCAACACAGTGGGTATATTAAACACAAAACTATAAGAATTCCAAAAGTTTCTAGCATGACAATTAGGATGTTTGGCCAGGTGGCCTTGGAATACTTCAGAGATCTATTCAGAGGGCCTGATCCAGTTGGGGGCCCCTCAGCCTTTGGTTCATAGTTCATGTGTTTCCATTCATTTAGCTATTTGTTCATGCGCTTTATCCAACCTTGGTTTCAACAACTCTCGCTCATATAAACCCTTCTCTTACTCACTAATTGGACTCCCAGAGCTCCACCTGGGGCCTAGTGGTGGATCTCTGCATCCAGTTTCCTCAGTGCTTGGATGGGGTTTCTGGCATCACTATTAGGGTGTTTGGCCATCCCATCACCAGAGTACGTCAGTTCCAGCTGTCTCTCGACCTTTGCCAGCAGTCTTTTGTGGGGGTATCTTTGTGGATTTCTGTGGGCCTCTCTAGTACTCAATGACTGAGGGAATAGGATGCAGAGATCCATGGTCAGGACCCAGGTGGAGCTCCAGGAGTCCAATTGGTGAGAAAGAGGAGGGTGTATATGAGCGAGAATTGTTGAGACCAAGGTTGGAAAAAGCACAGAGACAAATATACAAACAAAAGGAAACACATGAACTATGAACCAATAGCTGAGTAGCCCCCAATTGGATCAGGCCCTCCATATAAAATAAGACAGTTGATTAGCTTGATCTGCTTGGGAGGCATCCAGACAGTGGGACCGGGTCCTGTCCTCGGTGCATGAACTGGCAGTTTGGAACCTGGGGCTTATACAGGGACACTGGGCCTAGCCTGAGAGGAGGGGACTGGACCTTCCTGGAATGAATCTACCAGGTTGAACTCAATCCTCGGGGGAGTCTTTGCTCTGGAGGAGATGGGAATGGGGGGTGAGCTGGGGGGAAGTCAGGGGGGTTGGGCAGTGGGAGGGGTTGGAGGGGTGGGAGGGGAGAGAACAAGGGAATCCGTGACTAATAAGTAAAATTTAAATTTAATAAATAAATTTAAAAAATGAAAAAAAAGAATCTCAAAAGTTACCTTGATTTAACCAACCCAATCCAGATGTATGCTGCAGTGATGCAGTGATCAGTCATCAGAGGTTAGAACATTTTACTTGTGTTAGGCTGTCATAAATGGAGTCCTATATCAGTAACTCTTACATATTTTGAGGATTTTATTGGTCTATATATTTTTGTGTATATGCATTTTCTACCTCAGAACTGGGATCTGGAATTCTCTCATTAGAAATGACATAAAGTTGTTTGCTATGAAAAATCTTGACGGTAACTCACAGAAATCTAGATAGAAGGAACACATCCTATGGTGATATTTTATTTGTTTGAAAATGTTATTTTATTTTTATGTTATGAAATAAAGTTGCCTGGGTGTCAGAGCTAAAAACCAGCCATTTAGCAGAAGTCTGGTGGTTGTGACTCATGCCCTTTAATCTGATCACATGATAGGCATCTCTATGTGCTCAAGGACACAGCCAAGAGGTGACCTTGAACCTTTAATCTCAGTACAAACTGTAGAGACTTGAAGGTCTGTATAGATAGACAATGATGAGGAAATCATGTGGTTGGATTTAAAACCAATGAGAAGCTGGATTCACAAGACAATAAAAAGATGGATCACACAGAAAATGTCACTTTTTCAGGGGAAGGATGGCAGTGACTGGTAAGCAAAAGGCTTCATTAATAATCTGATCTTTTGGGCTTTTAACTCTGCATTAAACTCTATGTTTCTTATTTAATAAGATCGTTTAGAATTTCATCGATAACATCCATTATAGAATTACTTTTGTATCATCCAGTAATATTTGCTTCAGCAAGACCATTTAAAGGGCTGATATTTATTTATTTCACCTTATTATGAAAATCTTTATAAGAACTCTGATTTTGAGAAATGAGGAAGGGTATTGTGCTAATTTTTACAGTGGGTGTGATTTAGATCCTCATTGTCCACTGTTATAGGTGGTGGTATTTGGGATGGCCATGCAACCATAAAATATTGTATTCACTGTCTTTTGACTTTGAATGTGTTAATTTAGCTGCTTTTTCTTGCACTTAGGATCATGTTTTTCTTTGTCCAATAATGACTTCTCTTCCTTTGGTTTTCTTTGAAGCTTCCTTTTCTTCAGTCATCTGGAACTGAGCAATTTCCACAAACTTATCTTGCAATTTCCAGTAAATTTCACCATCCTATCATTCCTGATCCCTGGGCGTCTGTCATGCTATAGCAAAGAGAGCTTATCTGATCACTCTTGGTTCCATTCCTCCATCCTCTCCATAGTTAACTGCTGCATCCAGAGAACTCTAGGATGTATGTTTCCTTTTCTTCTTCCCATAAACCTCCCTTTGTTCAACAGACTCACTAGTTCCTTTTTTGTTCTCTTCTGAATACCTCGTGAAAGCCTCAGTTGCCTGCTTCTCCTGATTTCCTGAGCAGTTTCTCAATCTGTACTTCATGATCATTGTAGCACTTCTGGCACTGAATTTGGGTCTTTATAGCTTCTTCTTGCAATTCCTTACACACCTGCAGATGATATTGGTCCAAAAGTTCTACTGAATATCTGATACCAAATGCTGCCCAAATTCTTA